AAAAATATGTATATTTCTTAAATCAGAATAACAAGTATAATACTGATTACTTATAACATTGATTTTCATTAAAATAATGGAATTAAAAAGAAACTACAAAGCCAGCAAGGTCCCTGAATGAAATCTCCTGTTGAGGCTCTGCCAAATCAAGGAGACATCCATGGCTGCTCTGCAGTACAATGGACTTTTCTTCATGCTTAGGGTCTCCTGCTGCTCTGTGTTGTTGCAATGTATTTCTTATCAGAGCCATCATGGCCACTGCCATGCAAGCACTGGCTGAAGTTACTAAAACAATCTCAATAAAGCAAATACTTCATCTTCAACATATCCCACCTGAATTTAAAGATCTCAAGAACAAATTTGATGCATTAGACACTAATGACCAGAAGAGTTGTGGGATGGCATTAAAAACATCATACAGGAAAACAGCAAAATGTCATTAAAAAGACAAAGAAGGAAAGGACCAAAATAGATGTCAGAAGAGACTCTGAAACTTGCTCTTCAGCATAGAGATGCTAAAACAAACGGAAAAAAAAATAAGGAAGTCAATGAGTTAAACAGAAAAATTTAAAGGGCAGCTCAAGAAGAAAAAGTCAATTTTTATAAATGTGGAAAAATCTGGAGTTAGAAAACTAAAAGGGAAGAACACATTCAGCATTTCTCAAGTTGAAAGAACTGAAGAAAATACTCAAGCCTCGATTTACAATATTAAAGGATTCTTCTATGGGCAAAATATTGAACGATGTGGAAAGCATCAAAAGAAGATGGGACTTCCGGAAAAAGATGGTAGATCAGCTGGAAGTATAGTGACAAGCTCTGCCGAGAACAACACAGAATACAGGACCAAGAAGGCTCAGGGAATGGTCCCAGTACTCTGAACCACATATAAAGGAATATTTAGAAGGTTGGGAAGTTTGTGGCAGAAGCAAGAATCCATTGCTTCCTGGTTCAGGACGCTTAGCTGCTCCAGGAGCCACCATTTTGTGTGGGGCCAAGTGGGGAAAGTATCAGAGCAGCCTCGGACGCCTGACAGAGCTGCAGAGATAGAGGTGTGGACATTATTTTTTCGTTGGTCCCTTGCTGTCTGCATACCTCCATTCTAGTAATTGTAGGGGTGCCTGAGTTAGTGGATACACCAGCCCCTCTGAGGGTTCTACTACGCATATGCATAGATCTCCACGAAATTTAAAGAGACAGTATCCACTTAAAACCAAACGGCCGAAAGAT